GCTCCCGAAGGGCTGCGAGGGGAAATGGCTTATGAGGGTTCACTGGCTGTTTGTTTCTTTTTTTTTTTTTGGTTTTTTTCCGGTACCAGGAATCAAACTCATGACCTTACGCTTGCCAGGCAGGCGCTGTGCCGCTGAGCTAAATCCCCAGCCCCTCCATATTCTATTCTTAAACATTAAAGTTTTGATGTTGAAGTGTGGGAGACAGAGGCAGGAGCACTGCAAGTTCAGGTCCCATCTGGGCAACATCTGAGACCCTGTCTCCAAATAAAAATGAGTTTTAGAAAGGGCTGCAGGAGGACTCGGTGTGAAGGCCAGAGGTCAGTCCCCACGGAGCTGTCACCCTACCAGCCCTGTTCTGTACTGAGAGCTGCTGCTAAGCATTTCTACTCCGCACAGCTAGTTCTGGTTAACACAGATTTCCTGTCATCTTCTGAGAATTGGTGGAAATCTAAAGAAATAGAAACTTTTTTTTAGCTGCTTTGATTTCTAATATTTTCATTATGGATAACAGTAAAATTATAATTAGTAAATTATAATTAAACAGTATTAGTAAATGTGTGAGAATTTTCTTCTTTGTGCTTTTTTCAATAGCTCATTGTTTTCATGGCATTGGCCAATGGAGTTTCTAGAATAAAAACAGGACCAGTTACACTACATACACAAACAGCTATACATTTTGCTGAACAACTAGCAAAGGTGAGTATTACATTAGAAGGAATAATTTGGTTGTATTTTACTAAGCAGGCAATTCAGGCATGATTATAACTGCTGTCACCGTAGAACTTGCATGTGGGAGACACTTGGCTCACTCAGCAGTTATCTGAAGCACCTTACAAAGCATGAGAGTTGTAGGTGGCCGTTTGTTGTTATTCCCATTTTACAGATGAGTAAATTAGGGCAGTGAAGCTGTTTGATCCCGTGTCATTTCCTAGTGGCAGAGCTGCGCTTAGCCCAAACCCAGGAAAGCATGCTTGCAGGTCCATGCTCACAGCCCGGTGGTACTGCGCCCGAGGAAGAAAGGGCGTTCGGGTGGAAAGGGTGGTGTCACAAAGCAGCCGTAGTTGGCTGTAAACTTAAATATTTATGTGAAATTTAAAGTCCTTTTCTTCCAATTCTGTTGTGCAGTACTTGCTGAGATTCTAACATTTGGTAGTCCTCTTGAATTTAGAAGAGTAGATACACAATTTTAACGTATACTCTCACTTGTACCTTTTTGGTGAGATTCTTAATTTTAACAAAAGTTAATGTCATGACGAAACTAATATTAATTTCTTTATAGAAAATACACAATAATTTTCCCTCACCTGTAAGACCACTATTGAAATTTAAGTATTTTCTATTTAAATTCTCTGTCCATATTTTACAATTTAATACATAGATCTTCATTTCTTGCCTTTTTCTGTGATATATAGCATATTTTTGTTTTGGTATATCCTGTATAATATACTTTTATAAAGTCATATAAAATTTATGACGCAGTTTTAGGCAGGAAGGTGCTGAAGCATTTTTAAAAATTAACAAGTAATGTACATTAGTAAAAAAGAATGAAGCATTACAGAGGTGTACTAAGCAGAAAACCACTGCTATACTCTTCCTTTTGGTGTGACTCTCAATAATATTAAGACTATTTTTTGCCATTAAGAACAGATAGGTTTTGCTTAAACTATAGGAAAAGGCTGATGACAGTCCAAGGCAAATCATGTCTGGTGATGAAAAGGTTCTGATTTTTAAATTCTACCTACCTGTATTTTTAGCAGCTACTTGTCTGTCTCTTGTAGACCGATCTCAGTAGCAAGGAGCAAGTTTTATTCACTTTTTAAGAAGCACATGTACTGTTGTAGACACGTTCATGTGTCTAGCATGGTTCACTTCGTGTCATTTGAAGTGAACACAGTGGAAAGTGCTGTGAACTAGGGAATTGGTAGCGTTCACTTTGCTTTGTTCAGCTTTGTTGTGTTTTACTGAGTAAGTTGAAGCAGATTTACCTTTCGGTGCCTCAGTGCAGATCAGCTCTAAACTCAGACACTTGAGCTAGTCAGTTTCTTAAGGCTCTTAAGTAGATTTAAATGTAGACTAAAAATGATAGCTATAATTGTTACTGGTGTTTCATAATGCTTATCATTTGAGAAAAAATAAACATGAACATACGTGTTATAACTGCATAAAAGATTGCTTATCTAGCTCGGTAGTCAATGTTCGTTTATTCCACAGTAATTTCAGATGTCCACTGTGTGTCAGGGTACTGTCACATAACGCTAAAATTAATTAAAAGAATCTGTGAGCCTCACTGTTCAGTATGGCCCCAGAATGATTGTTTTTACATTCAGAGACACCCAGGATTTTAGTCATACTTGAAGTCTCTTTACCACAAACAGCCTACATAGTTGTTTTGATTTTAATTTAAATTTTGAATTTATTTAATTCAGCTTCATTAAATTTTGAATTTATTTAATTCAATTTTATTAAATGTTTTAAATCCAGGCACAGTGGTGCATGTCTGTAATCTCAGCACTCAAGAGGCTGAGGCAGGAGGATTGCTGCAAGTTCAACACTAGCCTGAGCAACATAGTGAGTTTGAGGCCAGCCTGAGCTACATGCAAGACCCTGTCTCTAAAAAAAAAAAGAGCCACATGTGATTTTAAAATGATCATGTTTCCTAAATACAGTAACATCAGATATTTCAAAGCCACTCAACAAGTGAAAATACAGTTTTAAGCCAAATAAATGTCAAAGAAAGGGCTGGAGATGCAGCTCAGTGGTAGAGTGGTTGGTGGAAGGCCCTGAATTTGATCAGCACACACAAAAAAGATGGCCAGGTGCGATAGTGCACACCTGTAATCCCAGTACTTGGGAGGCTGAGGCAGGAAGATTGCTGAGTTCAAGGCCAGCCTGAGCTACATAATGGGTTCTATAAGACCCTGTCTCAAAAAAAGATGAATGAAAATGTTAGTCACACCCTCACACCACTTTCCTTCCTCCCATCTCTGTACTGGTTCTGTTTGAATAATGTCATTTAGGGAACTAAATTGGTAAAAGGAAATTTAGTGACATTTAATGATAATTTTGTACTTGGCAAGATAAACATTACATGTTTCGGTTCCAAAGTTGACAGAAATTTTAGGGAATAGCGAGACCATGAGTTGAGATTTCAGAATTGAACTTGGCTTGACTGCCCTCGGGGGGCTTCTGATGCAGTGGTGTGGAGTGGAACCTTGGCATATGTATTCTGACAGAAGGCCACAAAAATGCATACCTCGGGGCAAGAGCTACAGTTCTGGAACTAAACGGTGAATTTTTCACGAGTAGCTTGATTTTTGTGTCTCTAGCTTCTCCGACAGATGTGTTTGATGCTGTCTCTCTGCCTCCTTAGTAGGAGCTGAGGGTTCTTCCCTCTTCTTCCTGTCACTTACATACTGAATATTCTGCTTTCAGGCTAAATTTATCGTGAAGAAATCAGAAGATGAAGATGCCTCTAAAGACACTTACATTATTGAGTGCCAAGGAATCGGGATAACAAATCCGAATCTGTAGCGTATTTACCGCTTAGTCGCACTAATTTATTTCCTACATAGTGTAACACAATGAATAAGAAGTAACTTATTAAAGAACCTGACTAAATTTACAGTTAAAATACGATGTTCTAGATTTATAAGGATGCTGCATCAGATTAATCGTGCTGTGAATGTCTCCTGCAGTAAGGACAGTAAGAGTCGATGGGTATGTGTGACCCCTGATTTCATTATTAAAGTATTGAATAAAGTATTCTTTTTACTTGAAGCTGTTGGTGGTTTTCTTTTTTATGTAGTAAGTTAAGTCACAGATACAGATTTGATCTATAATTTGGGTATAGCATGTCCTTGTCCACAGTTTGGCTTCCTGAGGTCTCCGTTACCTGGAATCAGCTGTGGTCTGGAAATAGTAAAAGGAAAATCCCACAGGTAAGTAATTCATAGTTTTAAACGGACTCCATTCTGAGCAGCGTGCTGACACGTCACGCCTTCCCTTTCGTCTCGCGTGGGCTGTGGGTCATCTTTCTCCAGTGTCAGCTGTGTCACGTACCCCACCTGCCCTTCAGTGTCCTGGCCGCTGTCTTGGTTATGGGATCAGCTGTTGTAGTACAGCAGTGCGTGTGTTCAGATAACTACATTTTATTTAATAACGGCCTCTGTGCATATGAGTAGCGGTGCTGGCAATTCAGAAGCTTAAAGAGCTTCCTTTAGGTATCACTTCACACCATCACAAGAAGGGTGAGCACACTCGTGTATTTCGGGAGAGCGACCACATTCACATAGTTTTTCACAGTACGTAGTTGCACACTGCTTAACAGCAGACATGCATTTTGGAAAATAAATCACTGGGCGCTTTCATTGTACCAATATCGTAGTGTCTCTTTCACAAATGAAGATAGTATAGGCTAGTCATTTGCCGGCCTCCTGATGTAATAGAGACACCGCAGACACAAGGTGTGTGAGGCTGCCCCCGGCATCACATGCTATACTGTATTACAGTAAATAGTGCTTTTTATAATTAGCCGAATACTCATGAGTAAAGTATAGTGTGATACACAAACCAGTACACAGTTGTTTTTTATTACCATTCTCAAGTTTTTGGGCGTTTTATTTTATTTGCAATTCTAAGTATTGAATTAGGGGCCTTGAACGTGCTGGGCAAGTGCTTTACCGCTGATCTACATCCCCAGCTTCATTTTCTTTTCTTTTTTTTTTTAAATTTTATTTTACAGAGAGTAGTAAATGGGAGGGAAAAAAAAAAACAATAGCAGCATACCGGCATCACAAACGTAAACAAACTAAAGCAGGAACATTAAAAGGGGTGCAGGGTTTCAAGACAAAATAATACGAATTAACAGTGGTTGTTATATTACATATCGTTATCTTTAGCTGCGTTGCTCAGATTACCAGATGTAAGAATGGAAGATTGTTCAAACCGTGAAAGAGAATAAGAAAATAATTATTAGATAAAACATTAGGGATAATACAGAGTTTCATTAGACAAGATGGTAGAAATTCACAGTGGTAGTTCCATTGCGTATTGTTGCCTTCAAATCCGTTGCTCAGATTACCAGACAGAAGCATGCAAAATTGGTCAGAACATAAAAAATTTTAAGCATTAACTGTTCCTTTCAGTACACCATCAGACACTGCAGCTATTCATATATATATATTTATATTTTGCCTTCTTTCTTTTTTCTTCTTTCCCTCATCCCAGTCATTCCTTCCTTTGAGCAGTTTCTTTCCCTTTCCTATCATCTATTGTTCATTTGAGTTTTACTTATTCTTTCAGGTTCCTACACCAGGGAGACAATGTGATGTTTACACATGTGGGTCCGATTTATTTCACTTATGAGTATGGTCTCTAATTGCATCCATGTACCTGCAAAGGCCTCAAGTTTATCTTTTTTTATAGCTGAGTAATATGCCATTGTATAAAAGTACATCTTTTTTGGCCGTTCCTCGGTTGATGGGCGTTTGGGTTTTCAAGATTTAGCTACGCCAAATTGCACTGTCCCCAGCTCCATTTTCACATATGACTGTAGGTGACTTTGTGTTCTGCGTTTTCGTACGCCTGGCGCGGCGCAGTGCTTGTTCACACTAGATCGCAGGTGTGAGCACTGGGTGATGCTGTGATGGACAGTGTTACTAGGCGACAGGGATTTTTCAGGTCTCCTGTAATCTTGTGGGACCCCCTATACATGCAGTCTGTCATTGATAAAAACAGCATGATTTGTGCATGACTGTATTGTTAAACTGTTCTCATTTATTATTGCTAAACTTCATCCCAGGTGTATACGCATAGGAAGAGACATGCATGTAGGGTGTGGTACTGTTAGCAGTTTCAGGTGTCCGCTGGGGGTCAGAACATATTCCCCGGGGATAAGAAGGGACTACCAAATAGTTACAATCTCTACTGAAACCGCCTGTGAAATGAGGTAACTGTATACAAAATGTACTAATGACACTTCATAGGTGATGCTTCATTCTAATTATATGTACTTTGTAGCTAGTGGGCGCTTGGTGAATGCGGAATTTCAGTCTATTGAATATATTTTGAAAGCCAGCAATTAGAGTTGCAAAATGTTAATCCTAGTATTTTCGGTCACATTCAGCCCCAGATATGCTTTTGTTTGTCTCCTAGCATTAAAAAGCAGTTGCTTTGAGAACAGAGTATGGTTTCATCACTGTTATTTACAGCTAGCCTGCGTGCACGTGTATGCTACTTTCTGCTCACCTGTAGGTGGTTCAAATGAAACCAGTTTGCTGTATCACCGCCGTACCGAAATATGGGAGGAATTCATTAACACTCGGGTCTGTCTTGGCCCTTATCTGCTGATACTAAGACAATCTAAGATGAGATGCAGGGGGTGGTATGACATTCAGAAAGTCCTGAATTGGTCTGTATAGAGTAGTATAGTGAAAAAAATTAATCCATATACACAGGCACTATTTTGTTAATGATCGTTATGGCCTTGTGAAGTTGAGTTGGCTTTAGATATAATGATGGAGTATTGCTTGTTATGTAGATTTTTACAGTGTTAAATTTTATAAACTGCTTACTTTTTAACCATGGTATCTTTGTATTTTTACCACAAAAACTTTGAGGAAAACTTCACTTTTGTGTAGTTGTTGGAGGGATTGTGGTACCTTCGAGGCTGTCCTTCAGCTGTGACGCTTGCTGGTTCTGATGGGTTGTGCTGCAGTATCAGAAGGTCAGCTAGCGCAGAGACTGCGGAGTTGGGAGTAAGAGACCGAAGCTGACTTTGTACGTGGTGAGTGTGCAGTGAATGCTGGCTGCCACCGTTCATGGGTCTCAGTTTAGGTAAAACAAAGATAGTGCCAAAGACAATTTTGTAAGTCCTACAAGTGGCTTGAATTTCTGTTTTTAAAAGCGAGTCCATTTGAGTTTCTTTTCTGTATATATACACAAAGTTCTATTGTAGTAGGTTTGTTTATTCTAGACCAAGAAATGCAAACAATACCGTTGATTGCACACTGTGCAACAGAGTAAGAGTATTTTTTAAACCGGGCCTTTCACAGTATCATAACTTGAGCTTCACAATGCTTTTCTGAAATTTCAGTTTGCAGGCATTCGTCGTCCAATTTAGAGAACTGACTTAAATTTCTCTGCTTCAGTGTGTACTTCTGTTCACATCGAGTTCTCCAAAGCCAAGGTAGGGCTTCCAAGGTCTCGGGTTTTAGCTGCCCTCTTACAGCTGTTCTTCCTCTGCGAGAGGAGAGTTTATTTGGCACCTGTTCTGACCTTGCTGGGGACATTTCCCCAGAGTGCAGGAAAATTTCTGGGGCACTGTTAAATAAAGGAACAGTTTAACACACTAGTCTCGGAAAGCCTGTTCAGTGATTCAGACTTACATCTTATTTTTATATTTTGCGTGATTTTAAATAATGCTTCAGTGTTAACTTTCAACAGGATCAACACTGCATCTTTTTCATTTTAAAGAGAAAAGAACAAAAACTATAAAAACGATACAGAATTTCAAAACAAGGTGATAGGAAGTCAACAACATTGCATCCTTAAATAAAACACTTTCCTGACTATTAGAAGAAACATTTTCATTAATTTTGCCAAAAAATAGAATGTTCAAATCCTTTTGTAAGGATGTGGAAATTTACTGCTTCATGTGAATTTTTAATTCTTTGGTTTCTGTTTCTCTACCGAGTGGAGTGAGATATAGATTCTATACTCTGTATTGCTAATATGTAAGTAATGTACACAAATGTATTTTTAGGGCCAGGCGTGGTGGTGCATGCCTAATCCCAGCACTTGGGAGGCTGAGGCAGGAGGATTGCTGCAAGTTCAAGACCAGCCTGGACTACAAAGTGAGCTCAAGGCCAGCCAGAGCTGCATAGTGAGACCCTGTCTCAAAAAGACAAAAAAAAAAAAAAAAAAAAAAAAAAAATTATTTTGAAGTCCAATACTCAATGTTTTTACTGTTGATTTCCTCTGAACTTTGTCTCATTCCAGCAGTTAACAGTGTTCATTCATAATATATCATGTAATTCTCAAAAACACTTCATTAAGATACATTTCCAATAAGAGGTTACCTTCTCCTCAATTCTTTGGACATTTACAAAGCATGATTGGGTGCTGGCTGCTCTTCCTAAGGGTTAAGATGCATTGGTGAGCAAGCAGAAATCCTTTCCTTTATGGTGCTCTCCTTCTCAGGAGGGAGCCGGAAGATAATCAGCATAAGAAACGAGAAGGTGGAGGCGATTTGTTTGAATACAAAGAAATTTACTTTTCATGTTTAATGTTTCAAAATTGCAAATTTGTATGCTTAGTAACAAAATCAAGTCAGAAGAATTGTTTGAACTTTTGAGGATTCGTTCACTGAAAATTTTTAAATATTGCAGATATGTGTATTTTTATGGTAAAGAAATACGACAAATTGAAGTGTTAAGATTAAAAATATATTGATAAAATTGTGAGAGATGTGAAATGTATTTTTCTAGTTTAAGAAAATGAATACCGAACAGCTACAGTGTTTAGATTCCAGTGTATAAATTTGAGAATAGTAGCATCATTTCACTTTAAAATGGAAATAAAACATTAAAATCAAGTCTTCTGGGTGTGGTGGCACATACCTGTAAACCCAACACTTGAGAAGCAGAGGCGGGAGGATCGCTGGGAATTTGAGGCCATTCTGGACCGCATAGTGAGTTTAAGGCCAGCCTGAACTGCATTGCAAGAGCCTGTCTCAAAAAGGCAAAAAAATAAAAAGAAAATAAAATTAAGTCTTTACT